ATGTGTCCTGAGATCTCAAGTTTCCGAATAGATGCTTCCAGCGTCAGGTTAAAAAGCATTGTTGAGAGAGCATCTCCTTGTCTAACTCCCATATTGACATTAAATGGTTTAGTTAGCTCACCATCTACTCTTACTACTGCCTTGAAGTCATATTAATATCCCTACTTTAGATCATTTTATGACAAGTAGAAAGTCAAAGATTAAGATTAAGTAGATACATTCTGTTCTGTAGTTCAGGAAGTGTTTTCACCATCGAAGACTGCATCTGTACCATATAAAATCCTAGAATATATTCAGACCATTTTTGGCCATCTTCAGGTGGAAACATACACATATCACGCTGCAGAAATTTACTACTTACTGTTAAGATTATTAAACTTCATAAAGATGTATCCATACTTCGCCTGCTTATTGGTTAATATGTACCATCCAGTCCCAAGGAATTTTAAGTTAACAATTTAATAATTTGCTGTAACTTTTACAATGGATGGGATAGCCAATGAGAATTGAAACGTTATGCAGATTTCCTTCATTACTTTGTAAAGGTAATCGGTGTCTTAAGCTTTAGCGTAACACTGTAGAGTTTGAAGGAAGAAGCTTCGTGCATATTAGGTCTCAAAATTAGATGGAAATGACGTTTCATTGTACAGCTGCTTTACCTCCCAGGACCCACTGTAGGGGACCTGAGTCGGCCTTGCATTTGCATGGTGATGAACAGCGGTATTCTGGCCCAGTCATCCAGTCACATTAGTGACTGAGCTATCCTGGCTTATAATTCTATACCAATTAAGGTTTTTTCACACTGCAGATTTTTCAGCCTTTTCTGCCATCTTTCATCTTCGGTGTGTCTGGCCACTAACTCTAGGGAACGGTCAGGAAATCTAAAATGTAGTGGCAAAAAGGAGATCTAGATGAGATAACATTAAAAGGATCTTATGTGGGTACCTGCCTGATTGTTAGCTTCCACTTCAGCTCTGATTTTGCCTCATGGCAATGGACCCCCCTCTCAGACTTTCTGGTCAAAATATGTCAGCACTCCATTGTATCTTTGAAATGCAAATTTTTTGTTTTCATTGAATTTATGATGAATGCGATATGGAAACCTGGAAGCATGTCAGCATGTGTTTGAAACCATTTTGACTATGCGTAAAATGTGTTGTAAAATATTGGTGCATCTTCAATCACTCATGCTGAGAAATCAACTTCATTCCCCATTCTCAAATATAAGTAAAGCAAATCACCATGTAAGTTGCTTGAGGGGAGAGGAGGTATAGCTCCTACCCATTCTGACCTCGGAACTAGATGGGGGTGAGTGGTCAGCATCACACCCTGACCGCACTTTACCCCTGGGAAAGCACCCCAGTACCCACAGGACAAGTGGTTTGGTGGGCCCCACAGCCAGTCTGGACACAGAGACTAGAGGTAAAATCCTCTGCCCCCATCGGGGATAGAACTCTGGTCATCCAGTCTGTAGATAGTCCTTATACTTACTGAGCTATCCCATTCATTGCTTTTCTCAAATATAACTAAATAAATAAATGCAGAAGTTACAAATACATTAAATTTTGTGGTCTTCAAAGACATACACATGATGATTAAAAAAACAAACTGGGAATCAAACCTGGGTTGTCCACACCATGGGCAAGAAAGCCACCAACTGAGCTTCAGCAGTCAATGAAAGGACGCTTCATTTGAGAGGCAGATGAATGTGATAAATAAAATTGTGTTTTAGAAACAAACAGTGGAATGTCGGACACCCATTATTCTAACGAGAAAGTCAGAGGCGAATCCACTACCACACTGCAAAACCAGAGCTGAATCAGATGGCAACAATTGACTGGGCACCCTTCTTAGAGAAATAGGGAAATAAAGTATGAACTGGACTGATCTGGTTCCAGATATGGTTAAACAACAAACTATTGTGAACTCAGCAATGAGCCTTTTGATTACACAAAAGACTGAAATTCTACGTTATCAGCTTTTTCAAAAAAGACTCTGTGACATAGAGCTGCTTAGTTAGGCACACAGCGCAAAAGTTGCCAGGAAATAAGAAACGATGTTTCAATAAAAGGTAAAAGTCATATGTACTTCCAAAATAGGTTTCATTTAATCTGTCTCATGCTGCCTTTACAGTACACACAGGAGTCATTATAAATAATCACATATGTAATTCTATTTTATTTGGCTATAATGATATAAAGATGTTTCCTGCTGTGGATAGTTTTTTTTCTTTAAAACTAAATATTTTGTCTACTTTTTTATGTTGCAAATTGTGAGCACTCTTCTCGTCACATTGTATCAAACAGTAAAACATGGTCGAGCGAGCGAGGTACACAAACTGCTGTAGTGCTAATTTCACGTGGACAGAAACAAACATGGCGGCTACATTTTGTTCCTGAGATTTTCGTAGACCATTTGCTTTCCATATATTTCTTTTTAAATAATAGCTGTGAATAACAGACAACAGACAGTCTTCTCTCAGTACATGACACTAGAAGAAGCATGCATGCCCACATTTTTCTTTGTATCAAAATTATCTTAACATCAATTAATTCCCCATGTAAGTTTTGTGCATTTTTAATGTGCATTTTTTTTTACATAAAGGCAATTTTGATCTTTTCTGAATGTCACTGATCTACCTTCTTAAGAAAATTACCTGTCAACAGGTACTTCCGGCTTGTTGCACACAGCTGTAGATCTGATTTATAATCAATTACAAATGAAACAAACATGACACAGAATTAAAATTATTACATTATCCTCCCAATCAAGCACAAAATATTAAATGATTTGGCAAACATACACTGGCCATGTCCCAAATGAAATGTGTTGTAACATGAAGTGCTTCCTTGGGATACTTTTTGTTTATACTGTTAATGTCAATGGCACAATTTTTAACTTCCAAAACAGTAATAACTGTTATAAAAACGTTTAGTATAGCTTTATAAAAATGCAGAATATACTGTTTTAAACTAATAAATGGAAAACATTTATATATATAAAGGCAATACTTTGTGCCATCACCAAGGAAGCTGCTTTCATTAAACCATTTTAAAGCCCTTCAAGGGACCTAGCAACATTCTGGCAGAGGAGGAGGACACACAGGGTGTTCACCTCCTCCTTTCTGCCTCAAATGGCTTCTTCATAACTGAAACACAACAGTTAAACACAGAAGGAATAAAGTCCAAGACTCCCAGCTCATTGGTTTTGCTTTGTTGCCATTTAAACAGTTCAGTGCACAATGCAACAACACAGAAAATAACTTATTGTCATCCACGACACGAAAAGAATAATTCTCCAGGCAAGTCATAAACCTATACAAATATTAAATGATGGCAAACCAATGGATGGGAGGTTCTAAATTAACATACACGCACAAAACACGTGTGCCGACAAAAAAGAAAACATTACAAGAAAGGAAAATAAAATTAAACACTTCTCTACAATTCTCTACATTAACAAATCCACCTACAAAGATTAGAACATGGCTAACAAAAAAACAATTCAATGTGTATGACAACACCCCACAAAAAAGAAACAAAAAGTAACACCATTTATATAGGCTCACCCTGCATGGCTCCAATGCAAGGCAAACATAAACCTGATTCACCACTATAATGAAAATAATGAACAAAACTCTGTATAGATATATTATGATAATAATAATAATAATAATAATCTATTCTATCACATGTAATTATACATATGCTCACTTACAAATGAATTACTACAGATTAGTTTTGCCCTGCTTTGGATTTAACGAGCATTGTTGACAAACACAAAAAACAAATCAAACGTGCTCAACATTTGTGCCTTGCGCCATCTAGCTTGCTTTCCCTTAAGTACGTCAACATTTTCGGTTATACAACGCAACAATGGCGGGCTTTTATTAAACAGACACATAACTGGCAACAGAAACATTTAAGACACATCTTTGGTTATAATAATTTTATATATTCTTTCGGTAACTCTTAGACTTTCACTTTGGCTGAATGTTTCTGGTTTGATGTGGATAAGGCTTGTACATTATCCACATGTTTAACATTTAATGAACTCAACACTCAACAAACACTCAGTTAAAGTGCATTCATAAAGGACTAGGAAAATACCTTCCATACACAGAATGGTAACAAGTTCCACGTTTAAAACAAATAACAAAGTACAGTACTTTCATATTTCAATAACAGCTACTAAATGAACCCCTGGGGTGAAAGTGCCATTTTAGCGAAAGAAAGCTTCATAAATTTGGTACTGTATGGCACACCATCTCAAGCCAAGGGTACGGGGTTGTTGCATAACAACTGATTGCACAAATAAGCTACCATAATTATTGTAGTCTGTCCCTCCATGTTTGAGACAGTGCCATATGTTACCAAGTCTGATTCCTTCCTACCCCTAGCAGAAAGTATATTGTAAAAAACAAGGCACAATACTTAAAAGTAAAACAGTTACAAACCAAATGTCTGTTACATAACCAATGCATAAATTAGATAAATATGAATTGTTTTTTGCCTTTCTTTGTCTCAGAGCCAAGAAGGTACAAAACTAGATTCTACTTTAGCCTGTTCCCCTGTTTATATTTATGAACAACAATTAAAAATAAAATCCAGTCAACTCAGTGAAAGTCATCCCTTTTGAACTTTGGTCAATCCATAAATGCCTAGAAATTATATGAAGTTCATATATCACCTTTTACTGTCCCATTTTCTATGTTTCAAAACTGCCTTTTAATCAATCATTTCACCATGGAGTTCCACACCCACCTATGAAATCAAATAGATCTATATTTCACAAGCAACAGGGTCAGAAACATACCAAACAATTGGATAAATAGCTGGTAAAAATTACATAAAGATATCCATAGACACTGCAAATAAGAAGAAAAGACAAACTTAATGAAAATTAAGTCTTTTTGAATAGAAAAATAACAATGAAGACAGGAGACAGACAATGTCTTACTTTTACAAAGTCTTTTTAATTAACAGGATTTTATATTGGTTTATAGGGTTGAATTATTTACTTATAAAAATTACTCTGTACTTTCTTCTTTAAATATTATTTCAAGCACGCAGGTCAGCCCCAGGAGAAGAGGCTGTGTATCACGTGCCTGTGCGCACTTTGACACAGGCTGCTTCCAAGTGCTGCTGCGGGTGATGTACATCATGATGATATGGTATTTACTATTATCAAAAAGCTGTTGTATCAAGTTTATTTATTTATTTTTTACTATTATTTGTTACAATTCCACATCACCCCGGTGGCCCTAGTTTTTGAGTCTTCGGACGCACAAAACATGAAAGTCACGTGACTATTTGTTATGGAGGACGGTCGGTCCGGGGGTAATCACAGAGTGCACGTACGCCTCCCTGACACCCAACAGAGAGAAACAAATGCAAGTGTTAAAACACACAACACAGTCACACAAACAAGGAAACAGTATTCTGCTCAACACAATAAAATGCATGGGTTTTGCACAACGGCTATGAATTCCACTGAGAAGCATTTACCAAATAATTTGCCTCAGTCGTCAATATCTACATGTATTGCATTGTGTTAAGCAGACAACAAGACACTGTAACACCTTACTGTTATGTACATATCATTAACAAGTGAAACAGTACACCTTCTGCACATTACAAAACATTATCTGAAAATAAGTAAAACTGTGCATTATCAAACCCATCTGCTACTTCATAAAATCAATGAAAATGTCCCCATCAGCCAAAGACAAAATATTTTACACAGGGAATTTTCATGATCCATGTTCATCAGTGTAGATAAAATTAATTGGTCTTCAATAAAAATGAAAGATGTCTCAATATATATTATAGAAATGTACTTAAATATTCAAAATTAAGTTCACCTTTAATTGCCATGTCATGTAATTTATTCCTACATGAGACCCTGCCAATGCAATACATCATAGGTTATGATAATGTAGCTTATGGATTATTCAGATCATGAACATCAGTTAATTTATTAAGCCACAATGAACAGGTGTAAATTTACTAGCAAGGATGACCAGATAATGCACACATTCCAAAAGAGCTGAATATAGCAATGACTGCAATGGGAAGAAGTATACATGAACTTGTAATCAGCATGGAAAGGCAGGGTGAAACAAACACATAAAAATGTAATATATCTGACCCTTTGAACTTCTCAAAATTGTTTTCTCCACCACAAGAAAAAAAGACTGTCTGGTTAGTTTATCTGCAGTTCCTACATTCAGCACAGTATTAATAATACTACATATACACATGGAGGTTAGTGAAGCAACAGAACAGAGTTAATAGGAGAGGGGCCGAGTATACAAATGTCAACAAATACATAACCTGCAACAAAAGTTTCAATAACATAAGTTTCTCTGACCACCATTGACAAAATTGTTCTAGGACCGGAAAGGGATGCAAGGGGTACATGCCTTGTGTAGCCTGGAGTATTTTAATTTATAGATGTCAATGATGACTGCCACTTCATCAGAAAGAACTACTTACACCCTATTCTCTTCCCAACTACATGCCAAGAAGAAGGAATAATAAGACTTATCAGTCAGGTGTCTTTTCATCCACATCAATGATTCAATTTATGGTAAGGGTAACACATTTCCAGCATCAATCAGTTGTAGGTTTGAACTCTTATATACAATAAACAACATTTATATTCATTCATTTTTTAATATTTTAATGTTCTGTTATAAATAGTTCATCTCTAACCGCCTACACACAGCAGAGTCCTTCTTTAGGTGACGGTCATTCGGCCAGTCAAGAAATTCCCCACATTTTATGGTACCCAAAGTTTCATTACTGTATTCACAAGTCTTTATTCTACGCCAAATCATTGTAATAAACATCTTCCTACCCTAGTTCCTTAAAAGCCATTTTAATATTACCCTTTTAATGGCTATATATATATGTGTGTCTTCTTAGTGGTCTCTTCCCTTCAAGCATTGTAATCAAAATTTCTCATATAACCCATGCATGTTTCATGTCCCCACCCATCACACCCTCCTTGATTTCATCACTCTAACTGTATTATGGTGAAGTACACAAATTATCGAGTTATTCATTATACAATTTTCTCTAGCCTCACGTCACTTCATCCCTCCTAGGTCTAAACATTTTCTTCAGGACCTTTTTCTCAAATGCCCTCAATCTGTGTTCTTCACTTACCATCACAGACCAAGTATGCCTCCAGCAAGGATAATAGGTAATTTAAATTATCTGCACACATTTCATAATTATGTACTATTAGTCATGTTTATCATTTAACTTTTATGAGTTATGTATCACCGTATAATAACAATACTGTTTGCTGGACTGGATAATATACAACCAGAAAAGTCTCCAAGTTATAGCCAATAACTCCATTGAGAAATGTCCTTCTTGAGAAGCTAATAATCACTCAGACAGTTAAGAAATTTCCCACCCTTTATTGAAATAAAAGGGAAATTGCCATGTTCACAAGAACCTCTTACCAAGTCACATAAATTTACTCTACAACGCCCCATTTCATTTCATTAATATCCATTTCAATGCTGTCCTCCCATTAACGCGTGTTTTCTGACTGGTCTCTTCCTTTCAAGCTTGGCAACTTTGTTTAGCAGCCCTCTTTTTTTTCCTGAAATTTCTGATGCAGTAACATACTTTTGTTGCTTACACCCTGCACTTGGAGCAGAAATGTTGTACCAAGTGCTCAGAATGCCAAGAGAGGAAGCCGCCTACTACTAGCCTCAATGCATGCATCTTGAAAGGGTTAACTATTATGATATATGTTAATCTGAATTACTTCTAAGGTTACCAATTAGAAATGCCAGACATAACGAAGCACAAATTTGAAACATATTTTAATACTCAATGTACTGAAAAGTAATGTTCCTAGAAAAGCAAAAGATCTGAGTATAAAAACATATTACATAATAAAATGTGAAATTTGGTATAGATTCTTACAATGTACTCATATTTTTCAGTTTCAAGGAAACCAATAATTAAGTTGCTGCTGTAGCTGTAACATCATTTTTACAGAATAGATATCAATGATTAATACGTTTTGGTCCCTAGTACATGCTCAATCTGGATAACAGCAAGTAAGAATTTATGCTACTGCTTATTATTGACCATCCAACCACTTTTATTGAAGTGCGGACATAACGTTTAAAAACGTTTACTGATACAAATACTAAAATTCTAATAAAATTTCTGGTATTGGTAAATCAGTGTCAGATATTCATTACAAACAGAAAATTGAAACCACATTGTTAAACTGCAAAAACTCATCTAACATTACGGCTGCCCAAATAACAACTAAATAAATGACTTAGGGAAACCAAAGGTTCATCACCGAATTAACCAAAGCCTGCCCTGGGCCAGCAAAATCCAATCACCTTCAACTCCTATCACCCATAGATCCTGCTTGATATTATTTTTCCATCTATGTCTCTTCCCCTCAGGCTTCCTGACCAATACCCAGAACACACTTCCTCCCTGTCCATGCACGCCACATGCCCTACTCATCTCATTCTTCTTGACTTAAATCACCCTGACAATATTAGGGGAGGAGTACAGATTTTTAAGTTCGTCATCATGCAGTTTTCTCCATGTCCCATCATCTTCTCTCCTAGGCCCAAATATCCTCCTCAACACTCTATTCTTAAACACCTGTAATCTATGTTCCTCCCTCAGAGTGAGAGACCGTGTTTCGCCCCCATACAAAACAACAGGCAACATTATTGTTTTTGTATATTTTAATCTTCAGGTTCATAGAAATCAGACAAAATATTTTGAACTGAGAAGTAGCAAGCATTTCCGGAATTTAGTCTCCTAAGTTCCTCATGAATATAATTTTGATTAGTTACTGTTGTTCCCAATTATTTGAACTTTGTCACACTTTAAAAGGATTTATTACCCACCCTAAATATGATTTTTCCTGCCTGTCTGCTGATGGATACTAACATGTACTTAAGTTTTTCTGAATTTATTTCTAGGCCCACCTTCCTACTAGCATCTAATAAAATTTCCATGTTCCTCTTTACAGCCAAAATAAATGTTTCAATATGAAAGATTGCTATTATATTGACCTATTGCATTTGGTAGTCGAGTAATATGTGGACCTATCATTAGCACAACAATAATATACAAAAAGCCATGCAGCAGGTAAATATGCATATCGTAACAGTTTTGAGAACAGACACATACTATGATCAGTAGACACTTGCTAGCCATGGGAATGACCATCTGTCTAAGAAACTAACTACAGGAATAAAACACTTCTAAACCATAGATATTCTTCCCACAACATGTATACAACCAACATTAACAGATTACCCACTACATGGAGCAATACATAGTTTTTAGGAGATGAACAAAAACACAAGACATTAATTTGAGAACTTAATACACTGAATTCAGAAGTCACATTTATCAGCCCATTATAAACATAAATCTGTGCAATTCATATACATTTATGCATCCTTCATTTATAATGAACTGCATACCTACATGTTAAAATAAAAGTGGAGAACCTGTTGATCCATTTTAAATTTGCTCCATTCGTTCAACTAATTATCCCAAATTCCTGATATATTCTCTGCTCCTAGCAGGGCATATCATAGTACTGCTTTAATTACAAATTCTTAGTAAGAAATCTTAAGCATTATATCTAGGGTCAGAACAGAATAAACGATCTATCTATGTTGGGTGATGACAACTCTTGTAAACATGGAACTAACAAAGAAGAAAGTGATTCCGTCTATATGCACAGAACAACAGAACAAAAGGTCTTACACAAATAAAGAAATTCAGATATAATAATACCAAGAGGCACAACATATTTTCCACAATATCTCAGAGGTCATCACAAATTCTTTACTGTTGTATTAAAACAAAACTGGCAGAGAGGATCAAGTTAATAAAAGAGATGAGAGGATGAAATTGAAGAATGATAGATGAAATGTAAGAATAGGCAGAAAGAGATAGTTGCAGACTCAGACTCCTATGCAAATGTCTACCGACAAGGTTAGAAATAACATACAGAGGAAGGAGAAAGAGGGCAGAAAAAAGTATACCAAATGCGGTAACAGGAATGAAAGAAGAGGTGAAAAATTAAAAGCTGCTGAGGAGGAAGCAGAATATGTTGTACTGAAAATGTAAGTTGAAGAGCTACTGTATATTAGAATTCAATAAATGACTGAACCATTATTGATAAATTGCATTTATAAAGATGTCTCCTCAGAAATCAATAACTATTTGTTTAAAGTAAGAGAAATATAGGACATGGGTGTTCTGGGTTGTCTCTCTCTGTGGTGTTGTAAGTAGTTGCCAATGTTCCGATGAAGAGAATGGAACACAGTAGAAAGAAAAAGGTATCA